CAATGGACAGCTGTACAGGAGGCCAGCAGCAGATGGGCGAGGAGGGTCCCCAGACACACTGGGGCTGACTCAACTGGGGTGTCAGTGGTAATGTGACATGCTGGGCCAGGACAAGCAGCCTGGCAGGCAGGCAGGCAGGCGGGCCGGATTTCCGAGAGATTGATGCCAGGTGGTCAAAGGGCCCAACCTACAATGGCCCCAGTTGGGACTGGGTCTTTCCTTTGGTTCTTCAGCCCACCTTCATGGCCCTGCCTAGAGGGTTCCAAGCCATCCACATCCCTCATGCCTCAGGGAGGCCTCCTAGAAGCACAAATGGACCAGTGCGATAAGTCATAAGAGTCCTGGCCTTCCAGCTTCACAAGGCCTATTCTTTCAGGGAAACTGAGGTCTGATTAGCACCTGCCCAGCTTGGTTTTATTGGTGACCTGGGCTCAGCCTGCGAAGGAAGCCAGGCAGCTCCACCCTCACCTGGGAAGCATCCTCTATCCCTGACTCACCTGGTGCTTGGGCTCAGCTGGGACAGGAAAGAGAGCAGAGGGTGGGGCCGGTTTGGGGCCCTACAACAGGAGGCTTAGCTCCTGCCTCCAGCTAGCTAAGCTTGGTCCCTCCCTGACCCACACAGATGGAAAGGGAATGGGGGGAGGGTTCTTGTTCTCCAAGATCCCCAAGGAAGCACTCTTGCTCAGTCTTACCCAACAAGAGGCAAGGAACAGAGGAGTGGGGTGAAGAAGACCCACCTTCAAGAAACTTCTGTTCACTCAGGGTGTAGTAAAAGGCCTGGCCTTGAACCCTAGTGTTCCCATTCACTTGATGGGTGTTTTGGGGCAAGTAAATGTCCCTTGTAGGGTCTCAGTTTCCTCATCTCAAATATGAGGCAAATAATTCTACCCCTTCCACCCTTACAGGGAAATTTAAGAAACTCAATGAGATAATGTGTGTAAAGGTATTTTTTTAAGTGGCAGGCACTGTCTAGGTGAAGGACAGTCTGCCACAAAAGGTGACTGAGCACCACTGTATGGCCAGCACTGCACAGGCACTGAGCTCAAACCAGTGCCAGCCATGGCACCTTGGCCAGGGCAAGTGGGAACAGCCAGTTACAAACCTTCTGGGCTGTTGGAGAGACTGCCCCATGCTTCCTTTGCCCTCTCCCACAGATTTTACTTCACATTCCCACAGCTACTTTCCAGCCCCTCCCCGTGCCCCCCCCCAGGAACTCCATTCCCCACCCATCAGTAAGATGAGGGCAGCTGGTATCCTGAGCTGGGCTGGGGACCACCCAAGGACACTCAGTTAGAGAAGTGTAGGAAGGGCTCACCCAGCCCAAGTCAGGCTCTGCCTCAGTTAGAGTCATCAATCTGGCCTGAACCAACCCTGGTTGGAGACCCCGGGCCCAGGCCGGGCCTCACTCTGGGCAGGCAGTCAAGCAACAGAGGCACTATCTGATCCAGGCACTTCCTTTGGTTAATGAGAAACCAAATAAACAGCCTCTGCCCCAGCTGGCTCCCGGAGCACCCTAGCCAGGCCCAGCCCTGCTCCAGCCCAGCCTCCCTTCCCTCCCCCCTGCAGGTCCCGTGGCTCTGTGGCTCTTCTCTGCCTTCCTTCTCCATGCACTTCCCACTTCCCTCACAGCCCAGCCTGCTCCTTGGCTGGTTCACTGGGGCTTCCTGCTCTGGATCACGAACTAACCCTCCCCTTCCTTCCTCCTCCTCCTTTCCTCTAGTGCCTTCTTACCCATTTTTAGCTGCTGGGATCTCACTTTTACTCCTCTCCTGACATCTGTCTTAGCCATCTCCACAGGGAACACCCCCCACAAGACCTGCAGGCTGGAGTGGGAAGGCCCAGGCATTGCCAGATGGGGTCTCTGCCTTAGGACTGAGACCAAACCCTCTTCATGAACTTCACCACACTCTCCAACATCCAGCCTGTGAGAGGTAGACTGCATGCTCAGGGCTGCTGTAGCTAGGGGACTTCAGCTGTCGGCCAGAAGCTCCCAAGTATGCCAAGGTGAGGGCTCTGGCATACACTGGAGTGGCCCAGCTCTGAAGACAGGGGATAGAAGATTCTTCTGGCTAAGAAGTGAACTGGGAAGCCTGAAGCAACCCTAGGACCCAGTGGGCTGCAGCTGAGAGCCAGCTCTTGGGAAGTTATTCTATCCACCTCCAGGCATCCTGAGGCAGGGCAGGGCTGGGCCTGCCAGCAGGTCCCAGATCTAGCCCCAGCCCAGGTGGAGGCAGTACTTGTGGACACACCCAGATCCCCATGTGAACAAACCCTCCTCCATCCACCCTCTCTAGTTGAGCATAGTGCCATAGTGGACAGATGCCCAGAGCTAATGCCACAGAGGTGACAGGACACAGATGGGGAAATGGTCGAAGGCTCCAGCAGAACAAGAGGACAAAGAAACTGGGCAGGAGAGTAGGAGGGGCAGAAGGCTTGAGACACCTTGCTCCACTAGGACAGCCACCCTCTTCCCATACTTGCCCAGATCACCCATCGTGTTTGTTTTTGGTTTCTGGCACAAGAACACTCTCTCTCTCTCTCTCTCTCTCTCTCTCTCTCTCTCTCTCACTCACTCACTCATACATATACATTCACACTTCATCCCCCAACATCATGACACCATTTTACACCCATCTCCATGTGGTTAATTTTTTTTTTTAGTTCTCATTTTTTTCTAAGAAAAAAGCAACAAGAAAATAATTCAGAGTTTATACAAAACATCTTTACATTATTTTTTTTTCCAAAAAAGACTAGTATTTACACAAATGGCAACAGAAACAAAAACAAAACGCCTTCCGACTGCCACCTGGAAGGGGCTGGCTGTTCCGCTCCCTCTCTCCCACCTGGCACTAGGGTAGGCAACTGGCCAGGAGGCAGCATGAAGGTGGATGGTGTAAGGCCCAGCTCCTTCCACGGCCACTCTGGGAGCGCCTGCAAGGCACACTCAAGTGGCAGTCTGTTAACAGCCGTGCTGGCAAGGAGCCAGGGTCAAAGTGCACGGCGTGCTGGCCCAACCCTGGGCAGCTTCTTCCTCTTTCCAGGCCACAGCCCAAGATTAGGGGGCCAGTGAGAGCTGGCTTGGGGGAAACCCACCTGTGCTAGAGCCCAGAAAAGGAGCAGGCCACCTGGCCTTATACCCGCTTAGGTCTTTGCCCTGGGCCTCTGTCTCCCACCAGGCCAAAGGGGGCCAAATGTAAGGAGAGAACAGGAGGGGGAGGGGGAGTAGGTAGAACTCCCATCTCTGCAGGGCAAATAGCCACCTGGGCACCTCACCTCCCTCCACCCCCCATGAGGTCATCTGCCTGTAGCAGCTCTCCTGTTCCCCAGGCAACAGCCAATTAAGACGTTAATTACCGTGAGAGTGAGGGAAGCAGGAGATGCCCAAGAATCCCACAAGGAAGGGATTTTTTTTTTGTGTGTGTGTGTGTGTGTGTGTGTGAAAGGGTGGCAGCCACTACCCTATTGCCAAGATCAGCTTTGTAGCAGAAGGGTCAGGAGGGGAGGGTGAGACACCTTGCCCAAAGGCACTGTCATCTTCCCTCGTGGGCAAGAACAGTGCTGGCCTCCCCAAACCCCAAATAACAGATAGGCCATCCTTTGCTTCCAGGCTGGCCACATCCTGGCCCTGGCCCTGGACCCTTGTACTAGCTGAGCTGGGCTCAGAAAGCCTGGGCAGGGGCTGCCTTTTCCATTTTTCTTCCAAAAAAAAAAAAAAAAACAGATGAAAAGGAGTTGACAGCTAAAAAATGAAAACAAAAACATTAAAAACAGTGATGATAGCAGACAAACAGTCCTGGGAAGGGGAAAAGGGAGTGAGGAGGGCAGGGCCAGGGGGGGCATCTCCCTGCTTACTGTCCATTAGCATCCAACCCTGCCCTCTTCGAAGGGGTGCCCCCACAGAGCCCAGAGGCCTGGCCAGAGGGGGAAGGCACAAGAGCATGGGGTCTGGGGGCATGAGTACCCCCTCCAAAGCCTAGGGGCAGGGCAAAGGGGGATTATAAAAGCCAAGAAACTACAAAACTAAATACAAAGGTGGGCACAGCTGGCAAGGGGAAGGGCATGGAGAGAAAGGAGAGGTGCAGTCCCCTCCGACAGTCCCTCAGGGCCCGAGGCCGTGCCGGGCTCTCAGACCTTGTAGTAGATGTTCGCTGGGCTCTGGGGTGGCATCTCCTGGACGATGTAGACGGGGTGCCCGTAGTCCCCACTCACCTTCTCATAGTGGGGGCAGTAGTTGTTTTCTGTAGTCCGTAAGGGGATGATGATGTCGCTGGGCTCGGTGCCCGCCGTGCCACTGCCCCCCTTGGGACTGGCCAGGGTACTGAGTGAGAGGGCAGGTGCCCGCTGCTGTGTGTGTTTGCGGTGTCGCTTGCGCAGCTTTAACAGCAGAACCGTCAGGAAGATGATGATGAGCAGGAAGATGACGCAGCCAGCGCCAACAGCTGCAAACAATGCCACCTTGGAGTTGAAGAAGCTATCAGAGTCCCCGCTGCTGCCTCCACTCCCACCTGGGCCACTCTTGTCTTCCTGGTTCACAGTCTCTGAGGAAGGGGAAGGGAGGGGAGGAACAGTTAAGGACACATGGCAGATTTCAGGCTGGGCCCCATCTTGCCTTTCTTCAGAGACAAGGCCTGAAAGGGCAGTGGCAATGGCTTCTGCCCTCTGGGTCCCAGAGTCTGGGAGACACCCATATATTACCATGCTTGCCGTCAGAATCACCCAGGGAGCCCCGACTACCGGGGGCCTGCGTGGCCATCTTGATAGTGTTGTCAGCCTCCTTGTTGGGTGGGCTAGTAGTCAACTGCTCAGGTGTCACAGCATTGGGGTCTGTGGGTGGAGAGAGGACAGGTGAGGGGAAGGGACCCCACCAGCATGAGGGACTCATTCATCTAGGGTGGGCCAAGTATGGGCTGTATACCAGACCTCAGCTACTTTAACTCTACTGTCCCCTCCCCTACTCCCAACACACTCACATTCAGTCAGAGACATCTGTTGCAAAGGCCTAACTAGGGGCCCTCAAACTGGGCACTCACCTTGCCCGACCTTCATGATGATCTTCATGGTGCGTGTGCGGCACACACCTCCCTCCCGGTTTTCCAGTCCCTCCAGGCTCCCATTGGATGTAGCTGCAGCAAGATGCCAGTGCCATCAGGGGGAGAGACAGGCCTGCCCACATTACCCAGAAACCCTAGTGCTGCTTTAGGACAGAATTGGGAGGTGGAGAGTAGCAAGGAGCCCCCACCTACCTGTGATCCTTTCAACTTCTTTCCCTCCCACAGGGACAGAATAGCAAGCCCTACCCCTGCCCAAGGGTGCTGATCATGACCAGGCCCTGGCCCTTCTTTCTCAGTGGACACTAAGATATGTCTTCTCATTGGGAAATGTTGCTCAGCAGCAAAACAATCAGGCTGGCATTTTGAGGGAGGCTTCTACACAAACTGGAAGAAATCCTGGATTAGGGGGTCAGAAGAACTGGGTTAGAGTCCCAATCCCATCCCTAACTCCCTGTGGGACCTCGGGCAAAAAGTCCTTCCCCCTCTTGGGGTGGCAGTTTCCCATAAAGAGAAAAGCCAAACAGCTGGCTGATCCCAAAGAGCTTTGCTAACTCTGCCCTTCCCAAGATTGGATCTTAGGTGGGCAAAGAAAATAAGAGAGAGAACACCACAAATTGGAGAACTCTCCCACTCGAGCCAAGGAGAACTGGCAGTGGGCCCTTGGTGAATATTAGGGGCAGAATTGCAAGGCCAGGCTGGGAGGAGAGCATGCCAGTCTTCAAAGAGGACCAGATCAGGCAGAGCCTTGACTGTGTGCAGTCTCACTGCACTACTTAGAGGCAGCCATTGCTACAGAATAGGAGACACCCACATGATGGGCAGGGACTCACAGGTAATGTAATAATCATGGTGCTTCTTGAACTCCAGGCCCATGTAGTTGGGGCTGAACTCCTGGAACTTGATGGTGAAGCGGATTTCCTGCTCTGGCCGGTTGCAGGTGACCAGCACATTGGGGTCGAGCACAGTGCTGCAGGCAGCTGCCTGCTCAGGCCGAACCAGGTACAGCTTGTAGTACTCGTAGGGCCGCCCTGCTTCTGCTCGGGGACAGATGATGTCCAGCTTGTCTCCAATCTTTGGGTAGATCACCAGGCCCTTCCCACTCAGGAACCTGCTCAGAAGGGAAGAGAGGGTCAGCCTAAGGGTTGGGGTTTTCAGGCCATCTCCCAAGCCAGGGGAGCAAACAATGAGGGCTGGCTGGGTCTACTGAGTGGGGATAGCAAGAACAGGAATTCTGTATTTCCTCCATCATGGGGCTGGGAGTGAGGACAGAGAACCACATTGCCAACAGGGAGTGGAAGGGGTGGCCCATGGGCAAGGCTGCCAGGCTTTGACTGTTTGGCAGGGTGGGGCACTGCTTAGCTGGGGGAGCCCTTTGTCTTAATGTGGCATTTCCACAGGGGGTTGACGTGGCTGATGGGCTGTGTACCAAGGTGTCAGGCCTGTGCTGCCTTGGAAGTGGCAGTCCAATCCTCCTCCCACCACCATCACACTCACATTCCTTCATAGCCACTGCTTCCACCTCCTCTGCACACATGCGCATATATGTGTGTGTGTGCACACACACACACACAAGCCTACACATGCCTTAGCCACTACCCCCTGCAGCTCCCAGCCAATGGCTGGGGAAACTCAACCTGCCTGGGACCCATACCTTCTCTCCCATCCTTGCTAATATTGGGCATGATGGGGAGATAGGAACAGGCATCTCCTGGAGCCCAGGAGTAGTGGGCACAGTCTCTGGCCAGGTGCAGCTCCACACAGATCTCCCCACTCCCCACTCCCACTGCCCAGTGTCCTACCTGGACATATCTCATCCCCATCATGCAAGAGTCTGAATCCCCAAACTTGACCAGTCTCACTCCTAAGAACAGAGAGAGGAGAGGGGACCAAAGCAGAGACAATAGATCATATAATATAGGGCCCTTGGAACCTCCTTCATCTGTGCTCTAATTCCCCCACATCCACACTGCCTCTGCTCCAGATTCTGAGAGGAGATGGACAAATGCCATCTGAGCTGGGTAGGTCTTCTACTCCAGAAGGCCGGACACTTGGGAATAGCAGGGGGAGGGCAGCTGCCCAGGGCCATCTATTCTCATCATTCTATCCTTGCTTAAGCACAAAGTAAAAAAGTGGTGTTCTCTTGGCCACATCTGAGCCTGGGCAGGCTGGAGATGGGAGCTAGGTAGTACTATGTAGGAGAAAGAAGACAGACTTTGAAATTAGATAGACAGGGCCTTTACTATTTCTGTAGCCTTGGATGTGCTACCTGTTCTTCCTGAGCCTCTGTTTCCTCCCTCATAAACTGGGGGTGGAAAGAGCCCTCCTCCCTAGGTGTCAGGCCTGTGCTATCTTGGATGCAATGGCATACTCAGAGCATCTAGCACACAGTAAGCACTCAACATGTTTAACTCCAAGAGTCAGGCAGCCAGATACTGACACCAAGTACCTATGAGCCCAGTCTTGTTTCCTGAATGTGTGGATAGGAAGAAAAGATGTGGCCCCATCATCAAAGACTTTACTGTCTGGTAGGGATCAGAAAAGTAAATGGCCCATGTTCCAGCAATAGACAGCACCAAGCTCTCTCTCTCTCTCTCTCTCTCTCTCTCTCTCTCTCTCTCTATATATATATATATATATATATATATATATATATATATATGAGGGGGTAGTTCAAACAGCAAGGGCTGGAGGCAGTGAGTGGAAGCACAGCTCATGTGATAGAATGGTCAGAGATGTTTCAACAGAAAGGGTGGGAAGAAAGTGGATTCTGGGTGACAAATAAGAAGAAAACACACAGCAAGAGTGAAGAGCATTGACTTGGGATGGTGAACACACAATACAATAGACAGATGATATATTGTAGAATTGTACACTTAAAACCTATGTAATTTTATTAACCAATGTCATCCTAATAAATTCAATAAAATTAAAATTTTTAATTTAATTTAAAAAGAGTAAACAGCAGTGGCTGGGACACAAAACTCAGGTCAGTGAATGGCCCAGTGATTGGTAGAGGAAGAGGTGGAAAAGCTTAGCTGGGGCCAGACTAAAAAGCTTTGAGGTTCACAACCTGCACTGTGGGTTTCACCTCATTGGGGACAGACCTTCTAGCAGAAAGACAATGAAGGGCTGAAGGCAGTACTTCAAGAGAACAAAGCTGACAGTGGAAGAGCATGGTTCAACTTTGTGAGGGTACGTTCCACAGTCGGGACTACAAGGTATGAGGTATTAGGGCTATCTGGGAGCTCTGTGTCCTAACCCCAGGGAGGAAAATGACAGCCAAGGAGGCGAGTAGGGGGAACTAGACCAAGTAGATGAAGGACCTGAAGAAAGGCAGCCCTCTCTTCATGTCTAGTGAAGCTCCACCAAGCTGGGGCCTGCCATCTTGCTGTGCAGGATTGTAAAATCCATGAGGTCTCCCCCTTAGTACCTAACTTTATTGTACCCCAGAGGGCCAGAAAGGAAGCAGGCATGGGATGGGGGCACACATAAACATTTAAGAGAGAATGTCCCCACCTCATGTTCCATAAAAAGCCAAGAAGTTTCACCAAAGCCTCTATATTTCCCAAGGTATTTTTCACTTTCCAATCCTCACAATGGTTCCATCCAGACAGCAGGATTAGACAACTTCTAACACCTTAGAGCCACAAGGAAGCTTAAACCCACTGAGCCCAGGCTCCCCATGTGAAGCTATGATAAGATGAACGTTATCATTGAAGGGAGATACTCAGAGCCAACTGGAGGAGACTAAACTCACCCAGGACATTAGTCCCTAGAGCATCTAAGACAGGGGTCCTCAAACTACGGCCCGCGGGCCACATGCAAATACAAATATTGTATTTGTTCCCGTTTTGTTTTTTTACTTCAAAATAAGATATGTGCAGTGTGCATAGGAATTTGTTCATAGTTTTTTTTTAAACTATAGTCTGGCCCTCCAACGGTCTGAGGGACAGTGAACTGGCCCCCTGTTTAAAAAGTTTGAGGACCCCTGATCTAAGAAAACCTTGTACAGCTGCACCTCAACAAGACCCTACCTGTAGGTGACAGCATTGAGGGCATGCAAGGGGGTACAGGCCAGCTCAGCTTTCTAATCATTTGGCCCTGGCTTACTCACCAGGGTGTCCTGTCTGCCCTGAGCACAATCTTCCATCGCCACTCAAGATCTGGAGCCCTGGAATTGGAACACAGGGCTTCCAGCTAACTGGAACCCAAAGACATGGAGGAAACAGATGTCTACATAGTGGGTGGGGGAAGGAGAAGAAGAGAGGACTATTGCCCCCAATACTCCTCAGACTCACTTCAACCTCAGTGAACAGAGTTAATAAATATTCATAAGTTCATTTGCATAGCAGCTGGCAAAGGGAAAGGTACCTTCCCCTAAAGTGCAGAAGGGAGAGGAGCCTGAGGAGACCTGTCTTCCTTGACTCTGAGCCCCCACCACCGGAAAAACTGATTCTTGGTCTATGAGAGGCCCAAGAAAGTGGCAAGGGCCCACAAGGATTGGGTATGTAGCCTGTGAGAGAGTGAGGTTATGAAGCCATGTACAACACTAGTCACATTGTACAGGGGAACCCTGAAAGTCTTGTCTCATACTCACCAGGTTAGGAATAGGAGCAGGAGAGGAGGAGGAAGAGATTGTCCCCAAGTTAAAGTCTTTATCCTCTGCTTTTCAAAAACCACTACTGCCCCCACTATCAAGTCAAGCTTTCCTGCCTGGGGCCACCCCCAGACAAAGCCCTTTTCTGGAAACTAAGGGGATTGACATGGCCCAGCAGGAAGCCTGAAGCAGGTTGTCATGGTAACCCCTGAGGCCTTCCCTCCTTAGCATCTGATAGCCCCTGGGTCCCATGGAGCCACCCCAAGGAGTAAAAGGACTTGGGGAACGCAGCCTGAGCAGTTCAGTTCCTGCCTTGGGGCCTGCCTTTTCCCCTGCACCCTAGCCCATGTCTCTCCCACAGCCTTCCCACCAATGACCGCTTAAAAAAAACTCTGGATAGGAGAAGCCTCAAGGATCTAGGTAGTAGCCTCCAAGGCCCTGGACTGATCAGAGGCTAACTGGCCCCTGCTTCTTTTGTCCAGCTGAACCCCTCTCCACTCATACACATACAATGTCCAGGGGGGAGAGTTTGCAGTGTGGGGTTATGCCCAGAAAGCTTGCCCATGTTTGACCAAATCTACACTTCTTTTCTTCTCATCATTACCTCAAGCTCTAGGAACTTGTGGTCAGAGAGTGGCCAAAGGGAGAGCCTGGTTCCAGGCCATGCTAGTCCAAGTTTAGTAGAAAGACTAGCCACAGTCTTGATTGGGTGACCCCAGCACCACCACGCCTGCACCCCCCAGGGTGGTAGGACCAGTGGAGGACAGAACCCAAGCCAGAGCTCAAGTCAGCTCTCATCCCAGCAAGGGTGGGGAGCCCCCAAATTAAAGGCTCCTCTTTCACTCCCCCAGCTCCACCCAGCCCCTGAGGCAGCAGGAGCAGGCCTGGCATGTCCCAGCAGTGCCCGCCCAGGAGTGGGTGGGCAGGAACAGCAGCTGGGTCCTGGCACATACACAGCACTGTCGGAGACAGGGAAACCAGGAGAGTCCCAGAGGAGGCCACCTCCACACCCACACTGGACTGTGACCTCCTATCTGCCCCACCTGGCCAATGCTAGGGTTCACTGGGGGCTTAACCTTCCCTTCCTCATTGTCTACTTTCTGTGGGGTCCCTGAGAGGAAGATTCCTGGACTAGAGAGGAAGCAACAGTGCTGTTCAGAGCTCAGGAGGGAGAGTGCCAGGTAGTGAGTTGGCTGTCTCTAGTTCAGGTCACATGAGCAGGCTGCCCTCAGAGGCAGGCCCAGCAAAGTCAAATGAGAAAGTCAGAGCACTGCTCATCCCACACAGGCAGGGCCTGAATCCCAAGGACAGATGCACCCACACCTGTGAGATGAGAGGGGAACCCAGAGAGGCAGGGAGCCAGTGCCTCTTCCCAAACTCCACCTTGAATTCCCATTTCTCGTAGAGTCCACGGCAGCAGAATGGCGTGGACAGAATGGCACACAGCACAGCTCTATCTTTACAGGCTTACTGACTGACTGTAGACAAGTCACTTCCCCTTTCTAGGTGTATGCCTCCTCATCTTGGAAATGGTTATGGTTCCAACTTCCCAGGGCTGTTGGGAACATCCAATGAGCTCACATATAAGGACACTTGTGAGTAGTAGCAAGGTGCTGCCTAACTGTTAGCATACCAAGAACAGTGCTATTTAGAAGTCAGAAGCTTACGGTGCTGGCTGTTAGCACCCCTACCCAAAATGAGTACCAGATGAACACACCCAGGAGGGGCTTCTGTGGGCACAGGGTAAGGAACCCCAAATGTGGCTGGTGAGCATTCCCCCACCTCAGCTCCCCTATCACAGGGTGAACCTCCCCCAAACCTGGTGTTCCCATGGCAACCAGCAGCCTCCTGGCTGGCCACCCTTTCTCTAGTTCCAACCCCCAGAAATCATGATGCACAGTAGTACCCTGGGCCCGCCCATCATCAGCCACTGAGCTGGTGAGGCAATGGAGAGCCTGAGGGGAGAAAGGGAACCCTTGATTCAGTCCCCACCCTAGCCTCACAGGCCCTTCTAGCCTTGGCCTGGCTGCACAGGGCGGGGGTGGAGAGGGAGAGTAACAGGGAACTCAATGAGCTGGGTTCCCATCACTCTCAGGCCCCCACCTATGGCCAATCAGCCACAGAGTAGAGGAGGTCAGGTCCCTAGCCACCCTGGCGAGGGGCCCCATAAGCTGGCCTCCCCAGGTCTGTGAGCTGGAACAGCTGTGAGGGGGCTGGGGACAACACTTTGGCTTGTAGCGGGCAAGCCTGGGTTGGGGTCTGCAGCTGCCCCCACCCATGCTAAATGGAGTCAAAGGGTCCCGGATGCCAAGCTGAACCCCCACCCCCACCCCCTTGTAGAGAAGGTGTAATGTGATCTCAGGCACATTCCCACTCCCTGGAGGTGGGGGAACCTGAGTGGGGGGCAAGAAGGGGTCAGAACGGGACTGAGAGACTGAACTGCAGCAGCTGGACTTGCCTGAGGACTCAAATGTGAGGTTTGCCGGCTGCCCCAAGCTCTCAGGAGAGGAGGCTGGGGGAGGGGGCGACCCTAGGACCTTCCATCACAGCTCTTCAGCCAAGTGCATGCGCACACTCTGGTTCCTCCCAGCCTCTAGTGGGACCAACCTCCCCCTCCCCACCCTGCACTCCTCAGACAAAGCGGACAAGAGGGGCCAAGGAGGCAGTAGCTCTTGCCACCCAGGGTCTACCACACTGGGAAGCCCCAGTGCCAATTTGGGAAAGAGGCTGGGAGTCTTGAACTGGCCCTTCCAGCTCCCCTCTGACGGTCAGGACTGGGGTGCGCCCTGGAACCTGCAAACATACCTCTGGCCCCACCACTTCTTTATTTTGATATTTTTCCCAAGGAGGAAGCAATTAAGCAGGGTTTATAAGCACTGAGAGATGTGGGGGGGGGAGGGGGTTGCCAGCTCCTGACAGGGCTGAGGAGACAGACCAAAAGCCAGGAAGAAGAGGGGAGGGAAGAGAGAAAATGAGCCTGTGAGGGAGCACGGGCATGTGCGAGAAACAAAAGGACTTGAGAAAAAGAGGCAGAGAGTGACTAAGAGTGAGAGGGAGTGTGAGAAAGAGGGAGAGCTGAGGGGCCTGGCTAGAGAGGGAAGGTGAGTGCAGATCAGAGAAGGCCAACCAACAGGGACCTGAGAAGGAGAGCCAGAAGCAAAAAGGGAGATGGACAGAGGGAGACTATTCATTTGAAAGGCTGTGGCAGCCTAAGGGTTGGGTGCAGAGGCAAAGGTAGCCCCCAGAGCTCCAGTGGAGCTGAGGGTAGTGCCTCCCTCCTGTCTTCTTGCCCACCCCCATGGTGGCTGCAGACCCCTGAGAGGAGATGGAAGGGGGGTGGGGGGGCACACAGGGGTACCAGAACCAGTCCCCAACCATTCCCAAAACCTGCTCAATTATAGGATAGAATTCATGCAGGTCCTACTGAATCCTCAGTCATCACCCCCCGCCCCCGACACACACACACACACACACACACACACACACACACACACACAATGCCTGCACTCAGCCTGAAGTGGATGTAGGGGTGTCAGACCTCAAAAACCTGCAAACCAGTCCAGAGCACTAAAAACTCAAAACACAAAAAGGGAGAAACTCAGAGAAATCCTGTTTCTCCCAGCTCCCCCCACCCCACCACCTCAACTCTGCAGGAGGGCTCCCTTCCAGCTGTGGAGCTGCATGCTATCTCTGGTTAGAGACCTGAGAGAGCAATTAGGTCACTCCCATGAGCCCCTATGATGGGCTACCCCAGGCGGCTTTCAGCTCTCCTGGCTCAAGAGGGAGCATTTCCAGCCTCTACCCTTAAGGGGGAGAACTGGACACTTTACAACCTTTCCTTCTAGGCTCAGCAGCCCAGGGCCCCCAGACCATTTTGAGTGCCTACTGTTATTAGAGCGCTGTGCCTGATATGGCTTTGGGTATGGGAGAAATTCTTGCTACTCCTTTTCCAAGACCAAGACAGAGCCCTCCATCCCGACCCTGGTTTAGCTACCCCGTTGAACAGTAAATAGTACCCTACCTTAACCCAAGGAGAAGAGAACTAAAGAAGCTGTCTTCTCCCACTCCAGGGCTCAGATGTCCCTGGGACCTAAGAGTCTGAGGCCCACAGGAGCCCAGAAAGTTAGCAGGGAGCCCAGGACAGTGGAATAAGAAAAGATTTCAGATATAGGAATGGGAGAGCACCAACAGGGCAGGCCAAGGCCCCCACTTTCCCACTAAGTCCAAGCCCCCCCCCCACTTTCCAACTAAGTGGGGGGTGTCTGCACACTGCGGGGACCTCAAGAAAACAGGAAGGAAGAGCAATTTTGACCCTAAGTTCCAACCTGAGTCCTGGATGCCAAAGGAGAAAAAGGTCCAGAGGTCACCACACAGCCCCATTCACTCCCTACTAACAGCCCAGAAACCAGTGAGCCACCGCCCTGAAAGGTGTGTGTGTTGCTGGGGGGTGGGGGGGGAGGGAGGGATTATGTAGGGGAAGGAGGAGGGGAAAAAAAGAAAGGATCTCCTCTACATAACTGCCTCCCCAACCCCTTGGGGGAAAGCTAAGCACAGCTTCCCAGTCTGAGGGACATAGGGTGGGGGCGAAGGGACCGCCTGGGCAGGAATCCTTCAAATCCTTCACTCCCCTCCCTCTTCCCTCCCAGGCTGAGCGCCCCCCCTTCTCCCTGGTGCCCTGGAATCTCTGCCACCGGATCCACTGGAACCCCCCCCCCACGGGCGCTGGGTTGAACCCCCCCACCCACAAACCGCTCTTCCACTCCGCCCCTCTCCACCCGCCGCCTTTGTGCGCCTGGAAGCAGCGCCCGCCCTTCCAAGGCCCGGCAGGGAGAAAAGGGGGGCTAGAAGAAATAGCAAAACGTAAAGCTAGGGAGGCAAACCAGGGAAGAAAGAGAAATGAAAATGGGAGAAGCCCGAATTGGTATAGGGGCGCTGCCACCCGCCCCAAGCGGGAGTCCCGCGCCTAGGTCCCTTCATAGCTAAACAAACGAGGAACCAATGTTTTGGCCTCATCCCCGGCCCAGGTCAAAGTCGCCCCCCACCCCTATGCTCTGGGCGAAAACCGCCACGTTCTCAGGGGCCCCAGAAGGGGCTGCCTTCTCCCCCCACCACCCAGCTCTGTAGTGCGCTACCGAGCGCCTGCACTCCCAGCTCCCCCTGGAGTGACCATCTCGACTTGATCTGGGAGGTATGAAGGAGAGGGCCCACAAGCTGCGGGGTCACAACACAGACAAGTGCCCCCGCCTCAACCCGCCGCACCCTGCCCTGCCCGTCCGCAGGAAAACACACTCGAAAAAGCCAGAGACAAAATGGGGCGCCGCTCTTCTTCCAAACATTTCCCCACTTGCACTCAGGGGCGCTCGGCCTCACCCGGAGGGAGTGCCTCCCACCCCAGGGAGTAGAGAAGATTAAGTTACTCACTTGGGGTTGAGGGAACTCCAGGACACAGGCTCCAGGTTCTTGGCCAGTGGCGTGGCAAGCCGGCACAGCGCCAACACGACCATCGCCACAAGCCACTTTCCGAGCCAACGCTGCCCGGGCCGGGCCATCTTCCCGGGGGGCAGGCTGCAGTTCCGGATCTCCTGGCGCCTCCTCAGCAAAGCTGGCCTCGTCTTGCCGCCGTGCCGCGCTGCGCTCTGAAACGCTCAGGCTCCCATCCTCCCCGGCCACCGGCCTTGAAGTGCTCCCCTCCCGCAGGCTTCGGTGCCGCTCTTCTTCTCCCGGCCGGCCAGGAGGACTCACTGGGCAGTCGCCCCCAACCTGGGCACAGGCTGGGGCCTCCGAGGGCTCGTTCCCCAGACCTCTCCGCCGCACCAGACGCGACAGGGGCTCGGCGCCCCCGGGTGCACCCGCCTGATTCCGCTCTGCTTTCCGAGATTGTTTGGGACTGCGTACCCTTTCCCCTACAGGGTCTCCCCGCTGGGGATTCGGTGGCCGCCCCGACGCCTCGACTGTCCCGGGATCGGCACCCCTCGGAAGATGTGGGCTTCTCCTTACAACCGGAGCGCAGTTCGGGAGCTCCCACCTGGCTCGCCCTGACACAAGTTCCGTTCCTCCAGGCCACACTGGGACTCCGGGCTCCGCGCCCCCCGACAGCTTCTACTTCAACGCGGGCCCCGGTCAGTGCACTTAAAAGAGAGAGGAGATGCGGCTGAGCGAGCTAGTCCCATCAGTTTGTGCCTCTGAAGCCTCGCAGGGTCGCCGAGTCCTAGCTTCCCTGCGATTGCGCCCGAGGGTCTTCGGCTAATACTAGCCTCACACACCTCACACTGCGGTCCAGCACGCATAGACTCCCTCCGCCGCTGCTAAGCTGTCTACTCCCGTGCTCACACGAAAGCAAGGCCAACCCTACTGCTCTTAGCCAATAGCAACCTCCGTTTCAGGGTCCTTGCCCCTTACCACGCCCCCGAACAGGAAGGGGCGGGGCTTCAGGGAGCTCTTAAGGACGCCGCGCTCTCATGGCACCAATCTGAGTGTGTGGCTCGTGCGGTTAAGGGTGGGTCCCGCCTAGTCCTGTTCCCAGAGCGCTCACCCGTGGGAAGTTGGCGCTCCTCTACAGCTGTCGGATCCTCTCCTCCCCGCGCGTCTGGTCAACAGTCAGACCCACTGTCCTAAACCACACAGGCCCGGTCACAAGTATCCCGAGAAAGTAGTACTTCCATTCTCTTTTATATACGCACGAGTCCTGAAGTCCTGCTCTCTGTGGCAAGGATAGCCTGTTTGCTCCAAGGCCAGCCTCCCGTATAACTCTGGTGGCCACTCCTCCTTCCGCCCTTTCAATGAAATGTCTGCTTGCACATTGACCCAGAGACCTGAACGTACAAACAGATAGTGGTGGGTAGTGGGGATTCAGATGGGTTAAGTACGGTATTCCTGGTGTGGGGGTGAGTTTTTCACCCCTAGGTACTAGGCCTTCGGAATTTCAGATTTGGAGGAGAGCCACAGGAGCACAGATTTAGAGTCAGGTCCTGTCAGAAGGCGCGGGCAAGGCCTCGAATAGGCCAGCAAGGTTAAGAGGGCACCTCCATAAAGACAGACACCTTAAAGGCAAAGAAGAAAGGCGCAGGGCAGGCCCCTTTTCAAAAAGCAAAAGAGGGCGTTCAGAACTCGCAGACACCGGACTCCAGCCTCTCCCGGCCTGCCATCTGGGTCTTTGTCTCCCAGCCCTACCCCATTCTCCCAGCCCCTCCTCGCTTCCTTGCTTATAACTTTGGCTCCATCCCACAGCTTGGCCCTCCCAGTCCAACCCGCTTGCCCTGGTAGGATCCCAACAGACACACCCACGTGCTAATATCTCCCCCTACTGGTATTTCATAGTACTGCGGGCACCTGGGACAAATGACGCTCTCACTGAACTGGAGCGTGGCACACACAAGCTTGGCACAAGCACTTAAACACAAGACCTGGAACAGATGTGGTTACCTTGTCAAAAACCACGCCCGAGTGTAAGGAATAAGAGAAAGCACAGTAAAAAGATGTGGATTTGGGATTGCCAAGAATATGAAGTCCCCTTACTGTTTCTTTATGGAAATAATTAAGTGAGGAACCATTTGAGACACCAAAGTGCTCTACCATTTATACAGTTTCATTCCTTTATCTCATTTAAGTAGGAGGCTGAGCTATTGAGTTTCTCACTGGATTCTCTTATTATCTCTTTGGCTGTAGAGCGGGCCTCTGTTTGGGGGAAAATAAAAAGAAGCAGGACCCCTACTAATCTCAGGGACAGGGCATCCAGAGTGAGAGGGATTTGGGTAGACAGGGAGGAGGAGGAGTTATCTAGAGTCTCTCAGATCCCAGCTGGGCCCCTTATTGGGGTATGAGCAAGGAGAGATGAGAATAAGATGCAAGGGCACCCCAAACTCAAGCTTGGAAACAAAGATCACCCCCCTCCCCTCTGCAAGTGCATGGCAGAACATCAAAACCTGAGTATGGAAAGCAGCCTGCCACATACTGGGTACCTATTCTGTGCCAATAACTGTGGTAGATGAATTTCCTTTTGCAATCCTTTGAGATGAGTTTCATTATCCCCATTTTACATAAATGGGGAACTAAGGCTCAGGGAGGAGAAGTGACTCATCTGAGGTCACCTAGCTACTCGGTAGTGTAAGAAGGATTTGACCCAAGAGTTAGCTGTCTCCAAAGCCCATGCCCATTCCCCTCTAATGTGACTTGACACATTTCCAGCCCCCTCTGGCTTACATCCTTGCTTAATTCATTCCTGGTTAAAAACTGGTTCATGTCTGGAAAGCAGCAGCCTTCAGGATGGCCAGGACCCTACTCTTCACTCACAGTCCTCTAAGAGATTACTAGGCCTAGGAAGGTTCAACTGTGTCCCTGGCCACATCCCCAAAGGCCCAGCTAAACCCAGAACCAACCAGTCTTGGATTCCACTTTCCACCTTCTGAGTGCCCCTTGGGAAGAAGGCAAACCCAAGATCAGGTGTGGGATGATGGAGATGAGGCTCCTCTGCTATGCTGCGAAAACCTGGGAATTCAGAAGCAATTCCTGAGTGTGCCAACACCTAATCCTGGGTGGGGAGGGCAGTAGAGGAAAGAGGAGATACCTCTTTATGTCTAGGCCCGTTCCACACACTACTCACTCCTAGTCATAGCACACAATTTCCATCTGGGGAGCAGGGCTGGGACTACTCCCTGTCCCATCGGGGGCTGATGACTCTGGGCCCCCACCTTCTGTCCCACACTAGCAGGGCCTCAAAAGTAGTGATTCAGGCCCCTAAATTAGGGAAAAATTATTCCCCAAGGGAGTCTGAGAGGAAGTCAGGATCTGGGGATGAGGTGGGCCCTCTCTTATCCAAGCCCACACCCCCTCAAGTTTCAAGTTTCCTGAGCACTTATTCTATGCTAGCCTCTGAGCTGGGCCTACCCTGGTGACCAGCAGAAGAGCCCTGCTGAGCCTTGCCTTGCAAGAGCTCCAAGCAGACTAAAATCAGTATGTGGGGACCTCTTGGGCCCAGGGATGCAGAAGGCTTCAGGCATAACTCCATGAACTCAGCTTCTCAACCCCATGAAAGGCAGGGGGTATAAACTTCTGAGCCATTTCACTGTTTATCAGCTCTGTCTCCTTGAGCAAGTCACTTCACCTCTGTGTGCTTCAGTTAACTCGCTTGTAATCTGGAGATCATGCCTCCTTCACAGAGGTGAGGGGTGAATGAGATAATGCATATAAAAGGCTTAGCATCATGCCTGGCCCACCAAGGCACTTACTAAATGGAAACTATTATTCCTCGACAGAGCCTCCCACAGAGACACCCTCATTCCTGGTCACACATGTTCTCACCCACTCACACCTGCTGTATGTGCCATACGCACATTTTTCAGCCCTCTGGTGTTCTCACATACATACATATTCATACATGAATTCTTGGTCTTTCCTACCCACTCACGCCACACCAGATGGAAGGCCTGGTTCCTGCCATCGTGGAATGTAGAGTCTAGCCCCCACATTTTATCATGTCACGGTCACACACACATGCATGAACATACACACACCCTGGATTTCTGGGGCCCTTGTCCTTGACCTCTCCTTGCCTACCTTGCACTCTGACAAGAGAAGTGAACTAACTCACCTAAGACTACACAGCCAGGAAGTGGGAAACTCGGGATTCAAACCTGGGCCATTTGGCTACAGAACATGAGCTTCTACTCACGATTCTAGGCTGACATCCCAGGGCCCTGGAAAGACCTGTGAACCAAGGGGTGGGCCTGGCACACCAAAGGGTCAGAGAGCAGAGAGCCCACCCTGCAATGCTAGCAGCCCTCTCTCCTAGCTACAGTCATCTCTGGCCTACCCTAGGCCTTCTGTCTGTCCCCTCAAAGAACCACCACCTCTGCTTGCACCCTCCTCACCTAGGCCTCCTGTCTGTCCCCTCAAAGAACCACCACCTCTGCTTACACACACCAATCCACAGAAAAAGGGAAGGCTTCAGTTCTTGAACACCTACTGTGTGCTGAGCATTGTAGTTGGATGCTATACCTTTGGTGCTCTCTTTGTTTAATTCTCACACCATCCCTGAGGTTGGTATTAATAGGCTTATTTAGAGATGAGAAAATAGGTTCCAGACTCAATCTGGCTGCATACCCTGCACTGCCAGCCTCAGCCTGTAAAGCCCACTTTTGCCCAGCTGCTTCTTTCTTTTTTTAAAATTTAGTTTTATTGCTTAAAGTATTACAAAGAGTATTACAAATGTCTCCTTCCCCCCCCCCCCCCCCCTTGACCTTCCCCCGGCTGCTGCTTATTTCTAACACCTCCTTCTCTCCTGTTCTTCCCATGCGCTCACCTCCCCCTAGCTGAGACCAGCTGGAGTCTGTGTTGGCCTAGGTTGTCCCCCCTTCCCCCACAAATACCTTGCTTTTCCCAAGTCACTATATCTCTGGGTCAGGCCCAGGGCAGGCTCAGGGTGGGGCCAAGCCTTCCCACTCTTCCTTCTGCCATATCTTGGCTGTGCCACACCCCAGGGCTAGGTCAGATCCAGCCCCAAGTGGGTTTTCTCTGCAAGTCTAGTTTTACTGCGGCCAGAACAAGTCCCAATGGCTGGGGGAACAGGGGTGGTCCCAAAAGCTTAAGACTCAACTGGACACTCAACCCCCAGGCCCTCTCTGGTCCTTGCCCCAGCTTCATGCCTGGTTTGTGGGTATTTGCACTGAAATCACTTTGATCTTCCAGGTGTCAGCCTGGTTTGCTCAGGCTGTTGGCAGAAAGAGACCAGGGATAGGAGGAGCTCCTCTCTTCCTGAGATGGGCCTGCCCCTCCCTTCCTCTCTCTTTATCCCCTCCTTATATTACTTTACCCTACTCTGGACTCCACAAAATCTGTCCCAATCCTCTGGGCCCCATACAGGCAAATGGCCTGCCCTATGCCCCTGAAACGAGTCTGGAACAGGGCATCTGAGAGGCAGAGCATGGCTCAGTGGGGCATAACGATTGGCACAGGCTCTGAACCATAGCTGGGACCCTGGGCTCCTTAGAAGCCTCATCTTCAACATCCCTGCTCTCCTGAATGTCACTGGTCTGGGCTTAGCTTCCTCTGGTAGTTCCTCCTGTCCTCTGCTCTCCAGCCCAGCATAGGGCAGCCTGCTGGGGGAAATCTTGCAGCACTTCAGCACAGCCCACCTGTTGTCTCCACACTCCAGTTACCTGGGGAATGTGCAAATAGGGGCTGGGCCATCCATCACTGTCAGGGGCTCAGGAATTGGGGGGAGGAGAGCAGCAGCTGTCCCCACCTGTCACTGACCCCATCCTAGTGCCCCATCTCACAGGGCCAGTAGGCCTGGGGAAGGATGATGCTGGCTGGAGAAATGGCTTCTTTGCCTAGTCCTG